AACTATAAATATGTATATAAAACTTAAAATTTCACCTAAAAAGTTTTATTTAAAATTTTAAAATTCCCACCTAATTGAAGCAAATATAATTATTGGGTTTCAAAAAACAGTTTCAGAGACTAAAAAAAAAACAACAAGAAACACAATTTTATTTTCATTCTCTAGATTGCATAGAATTTTAAGAAAGAAATTTAGTAAAAAATCAGTAAAAAATTTTCAAAAGTCTAGACTGCAAAAAATTGTGAATTTAAAAAAATGTCCGGACTTTACAAAAAAGAAAGATGAGGTGAAAAAAATTATCCAATAAAACAACCTATTTTTAATTTACAACAAAATATAGAGATTTTAAGAAAAAAAAACTCAAATTAAAAAAAAAAACAAAATATCGAGCTGCAAAAGATAAAAGCTCAAAAAAATCTCTAAAATTGCAAAAAATATGTCTCAAATTAATTGTAAGGAAAAATTCTTTAGATTAGCAATAAAGAAAATAAAAAAATGTCGTTAGAAAAATTTCAGAATTTTAAACTAAAAAAACGGTTGAACAAGACTTAAAATTTATTTAAAGAACCACCAAAACAAAAATTAAAAAAAAAACAAAATATTGAACTGCAAAAGAAAGTAGTTCAAAAAATCTCTAAAATTGCATCCAAATGTATCTCTGTAAGGAAGAAAAGTGAGAATTTAAAAATTTCCTAGACACAATAAAGAAAAAACTATCCAAAAACACAAATTCTTCTAATTCTCTAGATTTCATAAAATTTTAGTAAGAAGTTAGCAAATTTAATGAAAAAAACATGTCAATACAAAATTCTACGAACTAATTTTCAAAACAAAAAAAATACTTGAATTTGAAGGAAGCAATTTCCAAATTGAATTAAGTGTCACTCACCACCTGAGTCTTGGCAGTGGAAATTGGGATCGAGTTAGAATTTTGAACTCTAAAAAAACAGTTGGAGAAGACTGAAAATCCAAAAAAAGCACCAAAACTCAACTTTTTTTCTTTTCAACAGAAAAAAGAAAAACAATACTGAAATTTAAAACTGCAACCAAATATGTCGCAAATAAATTTGTAAGGAAGAAAATTATGAATTTAAAAATTCTCGAGACTCGTATTAAAGCAAAAAAATTTAAAAAATGTCGGTAGAACAATAATTTTACAATGTTAAGCTCTAAAAAACAGTTGGAGAAAACTGAAAATTTTCTACACTCGAAATAAAGCAAAAAAAAATTAAAAAAATGTCAGTAGAACAGTTTCACAATTTTGAACTCAAAAAAAAACAGTTGGAGAAGACTGAAAATTAATAAAAGAAACTACCAAAACTCACCAATTTTTGATTTTCAACAGAAAAAAAAAGAAAAACCATCCTAAAATTGCAAAATATTAACTGCAAAAGACAGCAGCTCAAAAAAATCTCTAAAATTGCAACAAATATGTCTCAAATAAATTGTAAAGAAGAAAATTTTGAGTTTTAAAATTTTCTAGATTCGCAATAAAGCAAAAAAAATTAAAAGAATGTCACTAGAACAATTTCAGAATTTTGAACACAAAAAAACAGAGAAGACTAAAAATCTGTAAAAAAACACCAAAAATCACCAATTTTTGATTTTCAACAGAAAAAAATCTTCAAATAGAAAAAAGAAACAAAATATTGAGCTGCTTTCTTTTGCATCTTTAAAATTGCAACAAATATGTCTCAAATAAATTCTAATGAACAGAATTTTAAATTTATAAATTCTCTAGACTCAATAAACAAAATAAAAAAAATTCAGAATTAACTCTATTAATTAACTAACTTAATTAACTTAAACTCTGAAAAAACAGTTGGAGAAGACTGCAAATCTATAAAAAAAACCACCAAAACTCACATATTTTTGTTTTTCAACAGAAAAAAAAAAGAAAAACAATCTTCAAATTAAAAAAAAAAACAAAATAAAAAACTAATTTTGAAAACAAAAAAATACTTGAATTTGGAGAAAGAAATTTCCAAATTGAGTTAAGTGTCACTCACCACCTGAGTCTTGGCAGTGGAAATTGGGATCGAGTCCTTTTGAGCACATTTTCGTAATCTTCTCGACTTGTCCATTGTGTACATAATCGAGAAACCGTCTCAGATTGGCACGCGTGTGCAGACTTTTGAGCTGTTTCTCGTCTAAGGACATCATTTTGTAGACGCGCCGTTTGTACTTTAACTAGGGGAAAAACAGGATTTTAAAATTGCCCATGATTGGCTTATAAATACCTCGAGATAGCCCACAGGTCCGCTGAATGGATAATCGCCCAATCTCCGTTCTTCGTCCAGGAATTTTCCCGCTTTGCCGTTCTCCGGAGGGCAAAACAGTCCATAATTGAAGCTTTCTTTCAGTTCCTGAAACCATCATCACACCAAACGACTTGAAATCACACGTGGTGAAAAAAACAAACACATGCAAAAGGTTAAAACAGATGAAAATTCATCAAGGCAAGGTTTTAAACAACAAGGGGGCGGTGGACTGGGTCATTTATAATTATTGCCATTAAATTATGCCTTCAATAATTGGTTATTATGCGAAGAATATTAATTATTGCAGACTGGGGGCGTTTCAGGGGGCTTCACAGACCGAAAAATATATTGAGTTTCAAAAACAGTTTCAGGGACTAAAAAAACCAACAAGACACACTATTTTTTTTCATTTTCTAGGTTGCATAGAATTTGCAAATTTAGTGAAAAATCAGTAAAAAATTTTCAAAACTCTAGACTATTTAAAAAATGTCTGG